CAGTAGATTAAGCTAATGAGAAAAATAAAAGTAAAATTGAGTGATCCGCAAACTCGAACACAAATATGAAGTGGATCTCAATCCTTCTAAAAGCAACGTAGCCAGTGGTAGAGCTCAACTCAACTCAATTAGAAATTTCCGAGCAAAAATAGCAGCCATGGCCGGTGATGGCTGAGTCTATGGGTCTTCTTCGACGCGATTCGCATTCGATTTGGGAACTTTGGGAAGGAGCAGGACAGTGCCAATCCTAGTTTTCTCTCCTTCTTTCGATATGGGGCTCTGTGCAAGTGTCCCGTCTCTCCCCCTTTTTCTGTATTGGCCGTCCTCCCCTTTTATTTCCTTCCCCCTTTTCCTTCTATCCACCTCTTTTTTCCCTTTTCCCCCGTTCCTTCTAGAGCATCCTAGCTCTCTCTTTCTACTTTTTTTTTTTTCTCTTTTAATGCAGACAGATCAAGTTTCTTAGCTCAAAAAAAGATGATGTCGACGAGAATTTTCGTTCTCTTCTGGGTAAAGTGAATAAGTGAAAAAAAAGAAAAGGACAACGAGGTACACGTGATTAATGATATCAATAAAAAAATATGTTTGACAAAATTAAATCATTGAGGGAAAAGAAAAAAAAAAAAAAAACTTTAATTATTGTAAGGCTTTTTAACTAATTAAAATGGTTTTTGAAATTGACATAACTTATGACTTTGGTTCTTAAGATTTGAAACTAATAAAAGTGGTCCTAAGTTTGTTCATTCTAAATTATTTTTGTCATTCCATGAAAAATATCTATTAAATACGGATATATTGGCAAAAATACTATCAATTTTTGTCAAATTATTTTGTCTCATTATTTGTTAAATGACAGTATTTTTTAGGGGTGGGCACGGTTTGGTTTGGTGCAGTTTCAAACGGTTTCGGTTTGGTTTTTAAGAAAAAATGTACAATTTGCAATTTAACATATTAATAAGCATTTCTCAATAGCAATAGGAAAAAGACATTTGTTATGTAAACAATTAGCATGTTGCATGCAATTGTGATGTTAAAACATGTTTGTGCAACAAAAAGATGTCCCTTACAATGTTTATCATAAAACAAGTTGAATAAATTTGAATGAATTAAATGTGAGCGAAACTTTCATACTAGAATATGTGACACCATGCTTCAAATGAGTCGACTTCATTAGATCATTGTTCGACTCTTAATAACAAGATTAGTCCACCCCTGTACATATATGTGTGTGTGTGATGGTATAAAATAACAAAGGTCCTTCAAGTTAATGATCGAAAGAAAGTGATGAATGATGATATTCTAGTATGGTTGAGTTCATACTAAGTGTATAGATTCTAACAAACAACCAATTAAAACATGAAACCTAATATGGACATCTAATTAAATATTTATTAATATTTGTGGTGTGGTTCGGTTTCGGTGCGGTTTTCAAAAGCCAAAACCGATACCAAACCATTTTCTATGTTGCGGTTCGGTTTCAAAACCGAAACCGTTTTAAAACCGCAAACCGTTCGGTGCGGTTCGATTTGATTTGTGTTTTAGTCTCGGTTTTCGGTTCCAAGTGCCCATCCCTAGTATTTTTGTTATTTTGGTTCTTATTTAACAAAAATGTTCATCAAATGACTAAAATGATTGATGGTAAACATATTCAGGCACCACTTCTAAGTAAAGAATTATGTCAATCTCATGGACCATTTTGACTAAAAAAAATCTTGATGTAATAGTAATCATATGGACGCCCACCCATTGATAAGAGAAGAAGAAACAAGTGGTAGATGACAAAACCACCAACAATTTACTTACAACAAATCACTAACAAAGTAGTGATTAGTGAATTACAAAACCATTAACAATTCACCTACAATAAATGATTAACAAAGTGGTGGATGACAAAGATGTTTGGTGTAAAGAACGTTGGATCGCTTAAAAATAAATTGATACTCATATCTAAACTTCGACATACAAACCTTGTTCAACTTTTGTGGTTTGCATTTGCTGGACAGGATTTCACACTTTTTCTGCCTGGTTTGAAATTTTTACTTTTACTAATTTAAATAGGCAAGAAGGGGAAAAAGATTCTAAGAAAATTGCCTAGCTTCATCAAAGCTACGATACCTTCAGATCAGGCAATTATGCTAAACCCTGAGTTACGCGCATTTACCTATGAATTGGTCTTGGCTGCCACAAGCGATTTCTCTGAAGCAAACAAGGTCGGACAAGGGGGCTTTGGAACAGTTTATAAGGTCAGATTTTAATAATAATATAGGGGAGTAGTTTTCATAATCTCGTTTTTCTCCTTCTACACTCATTCCATTGTTTTGTCTCTTACTATTTTGATTTATTCAACCCAAGAGAGAGAGAAGAGTGTGGAAATCATTTCCCAATATAAAGTGTGCATGTTTTCTATTAACCTCAGTGGCCGTCACACAAATATCGCAGTTTCTTTTTTCTTTTTGGGCTAAGTGAAAAATATTGTGGCTTATGATTTCAGGGAAATTTGGCGACGGGACAAGAAGTAGCTGTGAAGAAGCTTTCAAAGTGTTCTGAACAAGGCAAAGAGGATTTTAAGAATGAATTAATACTCATCTATCAACTCCAACATATAAACCTTGTTCAACTCGTTGGATTTTGCATTCATGAAGAGGAAAGGATGCTGATATACGAGTACATGCCAAACAAAGGCTTGGACTCCTTTTTATTTGGTGGGGAATTAACACTATTTTATATATAATGATAGCTCTTGATGATTCTTTCATCATTTGTTCAGCATAAAGTTTAAAACATTCTCACTTGACTCCCTATGTTGGACAGATTCCACCAGAGGTCAGCAACTAGATTGGACAAAGCGCTTCACAATAATTGAAGGAATCGCTCAAGGAATGCTTTACTTGCACAAATACTCGAGGAAGAAAGTGATTCATAGAGATTTGAAAGCCAGTAATATACTACTTGACGATCATATGAACCCCAAAATTTCAGATTTTGGTATGGCAAGGATTTTCACTTAGGAACTGGGAGCTAATACTAAGAGGATTGTCGGGACACAGTGAGAATTTAAACAATGCACACATGCATTCGTTTCACACATTTTTCTTTCAATTGAGAAACATGCATCTACATATACAGAGATTTACTAACCATATTCTCTTTTCACATTCGTTACAGTGGTTATATGTCCCCCGAGTATGCCATGGGAGGAAACTTCTCCGTTAAGTCTGATGTCTACAGCTACGGAGTGTTACTGCTTGAAATTATAAGCGGTAGGAAATACAATAGCTCCTCCAATGAAGATCGAGCGCTCAACTTAGGACATGTATGTCAAACAAATCACTGCTGTTACAGTTATTTGATTAATGTTATTTAGTACACAAAATTAACACTTTCTAATACATGTGGGTCACATATACAAGAGTAAGGTCAACCTCTTTTAGGGTTTGTCCAAGTGTGTCTATTTTGTGTCTAAATAGAATTATTTTTTAAGTTTTTTTTATCATCTTTTACAGTTTGATCGATATTGATCAAGGATTTTTAATATTTGCTTCATCAGGCATGGGAGTTATGGAAAGCAGGTAAAGGGGAAGAACTAAGGGATCCAACACTAGTCGAAACATCCGTTAGAGGTCAATTGTTAAGATGTATACAAGTCGGCCTACTATGCGTGGAGGAAAATGCAGTCGATCGGCCAGACATGTCGAAGGTTGTATCCATGTTAACAAACGAAAGCATGCAGTTACCTAAGCCAAAAAAACCAGCATTTTATTACGCATAGACAAATGCGGCCACTGCTGATATAGGTAGAATGTGACCGCCACTGGTATCAATAAACGGGTTGTCCAATTCCGAATTCGTTGGATGTAGAAGGTACTGGTCATGTATTTTGTGCCTCATGAATACTGCAACAAAGCTTGTTCTGAGGAAAAATTTAACTGTAATTCGATGGGTGGTTTTCCTTTTTTCTCATAAGAGACCAAATACTGTGATAAATCTTATACGGCATGTAATTTCGACGTTTCATATTCAAGTGGTGCTTTTTCAAATTTCTGCAATTTTGTTTTTTAAGAAAAGTCGATAATCGGTATATATTATTTATAGGGGGCAATCCGCATCACTTTTTTTATACAATTTTTTACACACGTTTTATGAGGCTCAATCCATAATGTATTTTAACAATTTGAGCTATCTATCTTTTAGGTTTCCTATCAATGATCATGTTTACTAAAAATTACACATCTCATACCAAATTAACACTGTGAACAAAACTAAAGAAAAATAACCAAAGTAAAAACTATGGGCACTATAGTAAATAAAACATAAAATAATTTTACGGTTTTTGTTTTTAGAGCCTTACATCAAGGTAACCACATCAGTTTATTATATTTTCTCTTCCACAATTTTCTCCCAAATAAATAAACTTTTAGTGAGAAATAGTTGTACAGAAACAGTAAATTTTATTTTCAAAGTTTTGATAAGCACTTGCAAGAATGTGTACAATTGCTAGTGTTTTTTTAGGAGAACGCAACCCAATATATTAACCCGGTATTTTGTTAGAACACAATAAATTTTGAGGCGTATGTTTAGTGAAATTAAACCCTTCGTTTGGCTAGCTGTTGTTATTGGTCCCTGTGGTCTGTGCAACTTTCCTAAAATTGTTTTGTAAATATGATATCAATTGATAGCCATAATTTTGTCTTTTTTTTTTCTTTTACTGTCCACAATATTTTAAGCGTGTTTCTCACGCTACTCCTTCATAGAAGAACAACTTAGATGGTATAGCCACATCGTCATTATGTCGTATCTTGTCAATGATATAAAGATATATTAGGATGATAGTGTTTCATCTTGTATCCGAAGTCTTGAATTCAATTCACCACTCTCCTACTATCGATGTATAAAAAGGTAACAATATTTCCCAAAATTCAATGAATTACTTAATGGAATATAAATACGGCTAAAGCTAGTTACTTGTTGCTCATTTGAAGACAAGGGCAATTAACAATGTAGATACAAACAAGCAGAACATAAAGATTGACACACTTCCATCGCTGCTGCTTTACTCTCTTCACTGGGGTCGTGGTACCCAAGACCAAGAGTAGTTGACCGCTCATTGCCATTGTCGTCCTCCCCAGCCGGCTCTTGGATTAATCTCCTCGGTTTTGGAGTTTATAAATCGTTGGTCTGGTCACTGCCTACCCAATCGCACGTAATCAACTTACAAGTTTCAACCTCTCGAATTGGTTTCCTCCAACCCTTCTCTTCTTTTTCTTTCAGCCGTATCAGTGAGCTCATTGCAGTTTCAGGTTAAGCGAAAGGTATTTCCTCAGCTTCTACATAGCTCAATTTATTTTTTGCCATTCTTTTAGTGGCCAAACAATATCCGCACACGTTTTTTTCTCCATATGTGCACCTCTTTCTTTATTTGCACACCTTCACAATTTGATGGGTAAAATTCCAGAGATTTAATTTACGTGTCAAATGGATAAGTTTCCCCTTGACTTTTTGATTTTCTTTGTGTTTCACATTTATCCTGGCTAGCTGCAGCCTCAAGTCTCAACTTAATTCTGCTGCTCAATTTTCATGCCTGAAGCTTTGGACCTGTGTAATTATGCTGAAAGCAGGCCGGGACACACTCAAACCAGGTGTATCTCGGTTACTCAAGCTATGTATAAATACAAATTTATCTAAAAGGGAAATTCAGTCGGTTTCCTAAAAAGCTGCACTTGATGCATTGCCCACCCAAATACACATATCCGGAGAAGTTTCAATAACAAGCCTTGTTGCAATTCGGCACCAGAAGGGGGAAAATGTTGATAGTCTCGAAAACTACCATATAAAGATTATTTTTCGGACGTCAACATACCATTCAAAAGGTAACGTGCAAATTTTTGAACCGAAAACGGATGGAATTATACCCTATAGGTGGCACATTGCAATAAAATTTTAATTGACATGGTAATGCAATTCAATATCTTCTATACCTGGATGACATGGAAACTGAATGCTCTTGTAATTGACAATTTATGGGCATTAATCTTGATTTATAGTTACCAGTAGATGGCCCTTTTCCAGCGTAGCCTTTGACTAATTAGAGTTCTTCTATTTAAACACCACATTTCATCTAAGTTCACCTTAGTACTTATGTGGCCTCGCTGTTTGCAATGGCTTTATGTGCGAATTCCGGTGCTAAGTATGTTGTGTCTATCATCTTTGTGACAATTCTGCGTTGGGACTTCTAGTTCCATTGGTGTGATGTGTGGTGGCCGTGTTAGGGTTTATAATTATTTATGTTTTGTGCAAATTATCTCCAGATCAAATAATTGGTTACTGAAGAATATGTACCTATATGGCACCTCTTGTAATTAGTCGTTCTTAGAATTCACCATTTACTTCTACCATCAAACGAATTGTAGCCTTTATATTTTTATTGAATTATTACTCATTAACATGTTAATATGGTTAAAGCTATAGTTGTTTGTTGCTCAATGCAAGACAAGGGCAGTTAACAATGTAACTATAAAACAAGCACAACATAGAGATTGACACACTTCCATTGACGCTGCTTTATTCTATTTTTTCGTGTTAGGCGACAAAAATCCTGCAACTTGGCCTCGTCCCAGCTGGCTCTTGGTTTTCCTCGGTATTTGAGTAAACTGCATATATACAAGCTGATTTTGCAGAATAGTAATGCCAAAAAATAATCCATATTAATTCCCTCCAACCCCTTTCTTCATCTGTTTCTCTCAGCCCTTCTGTGAGCTGAACAGTATATTCCTCACCTTCAAGTTAGCCGAGATGTATTTTCCTCGGTTTCTACTCCTACATCATTTTTCAATTTGGATCGATGTTATCTAGTATCCAATTTTTCCTCGGAGATTATTTGTCACCAATATTTTTTTTTTAAGAAGATACAGGTTCCAGCTTGAGAATTATTAGTAAAACTTCATATTTTTAATCTACATGTCAAAAAGATAAGCTTCTTCTTTCCGGCCCGCTTCGATTTTCTTTGTATTTCACATTTTTCATTGATTGCTGCAGCCGCAACTTAATTCATGCCATCAGATTTGGACTTATGTACTCATCATGCTGCAAGACGGCAGGGACAACTCTAACCAGGTAAATCTGCATATTACTAGAGTTATTAATTAACGGTCTGAGAACAGGAAGTTCAGTTTCGGTTTCAGAAAAGCTGCACACTTGATGGCTGGATTACCAACCCAAATACACATATCTTAAAACATTACAGTTACAGGCCTTGTTACAATTCGGCACAACGCGTGCCGCATATAATCATCCACTTTTTCATAAAAAAAAAGTTGCATTTTCTTGACCTTCGTATAATATTTTGTGAGGAATTTTCAGACGTCAAAATACCAATAAAAAAGTGGCACATTGCAACAAAATACTAATTGATGTGGAAATGTGATTCAATTTCATTTTCAGGTTGCCATCTTTGACATCATCATCTATATTGGATATATAACATTAGTATTGTACAATAAAACAATGAACATTGCACGGAAACTATCCATTTCTTTCTAAGAAGCGGATGAGTGCGAGCGCATTACAACTTTTCAAGATCATCCAAACAAATTAAAGTAGCCTTGTGGTCACTATTCATGGCTGCACGTTCAGTGATCAAGTACGCAATTATCTCGGTTTGTTTTGCATCCTTGTGGACTTGTCATGATGCAATAGACACACTGAAACCAGGGGACACTCTCAACTCCACAGGCTCCCTACTTTCGGCATCTGGATCGTTCACTATGAAGTTTGTTGAACTTGGTGGTTCCGATAACATTCTTCTTGCTATCCTGCGTGTTAGAAGTAAAGTAAACAGGGCATGGATTGCCAACCGAGACACACCTTTTTCATCCACTTCATCCCCACTTCTTACGTTGGACTTCAATAACGTGTTGAAAATTACCCGCCAAGATGGAGATCCTGTTGTCCTTTCAGCCGCTCCATATATTAATGACACTAGTATTAGTGTTGTGGCTACCCTTTTGGATTCCGGCAATTTTGTACTACAAGAAGTGAACTCCGCCAGCGGATCAACGATCCGTATTTGGTGGCAAAGTTTTGATTATCCATTGGACACATTTTTACCGGGCATGAAATTGGGTGTTGATCGTAGAAATGGCTTCTATTGGTCTCTTTCATCATGGGGATCTGCAAACAACCCCATGCCACCAGGGCCTTACAGCCTTTTTTGGGACACCAATGGACACCAACTGAATATAAAGCGAAATGATGTTGTGTATTGGACTAGCGGGGTGTTTGCAGATGGGAGATTTGAATTTATTTTCCCTGATGTGTCCAAGCAAAGGTACAATTTTAGCATTGTTTCAAATCAAGATGAAGACTACCTCACTTATACTAGTCGAAATGATCCTAGTGATCCTGAGCCAGAATGGGTGCTATTCACCAGGGGGGCACTTTTTGAGTTTGGCGCATCAGTTGCCATCATAGAAGCGCAGACCTGTGATGGTTATAATGTCATCGGAGGGTGCGTGAGGAGGGACAGGCCAAGTGGTTGTATTGGGGAAGCTGGTGATGATTTTCAACTGAAAAAGGGTTACTTCAAGGTAATCAACTCTAGTACTTCGAGACCCCCCAACTGGATTGGTAGTGGTAGTGAGGATTGTAAGGTTACTTGTTGGCAAGATTGTGACTGCCTTGGATTCGACTTTCCATCTGGTAATCCGACTACTGGTGCAGGATGCCGATTTTGGAGCGTGGACTGTGGATTCATTGAAGACTTTACTGCAAATACTAGTTTTGTTTTGCCGTCAGCAACGCAACTACCACAATCACCGGATTCACCACCTGTGGGAAAGATTGGTAAGCCTAGCTAGCTATGTACTAATCTTACTAAATATTGAACTTGGACTACATGTCATATCTCCTACAAGCACTTCACAGAATTATGAGACAATTAATCTGCACACAAATAACAAAAATCAACTAACTGGAAATCAAATGAGCTTTATGTATATCAAAAAGATGAATATCGAAAAAATGAATTTGGGTTATATTGAACGATACAAACTCAAATAAATATTCATCATGAATTTAGTTAGTTAAGTAGCTAGACAATTCGAGTGCTTTCTTGAAAAGTTCTTTTCCTATAGAAGCACATGTTAAGTGTTTCTCCATAAAGTGCTTATGGGTGGTAAAAGTGTTTTTTAAGTTTTTATGCTGAAAATATATAGTCACGAGCGATTTTGATTGTATCATAGTTATTATCTAGACTTTTTTACATAACAGGTCAATATGCCAATATTAAAGTATATATTCTTTATCAGTTCTTTCCCGTATATATAACAAATTAATTGATACTATCACTATATGCAGCACACAAATGGTTCTGGATTGGCATTTCTATTGGCGCTGCATTACTAGTAATGGGGTTCTGCTTCTTGGGCTTTCGCCTGAGAAGAATATATATGGTTTCAGCAGGTAAACATTTTAAACTTTCTGTAAACTTGTTAGATGTACATAATTTCACGTCTCTCACAATTGTTGTCCCTAATTTGAAATTTTAACTCGCATGCTAATCCAATTAGGGAAGAACTGGACAACTATTCGAAGAAAATTGCTTAACTTCATGGAATCGAAGAGACCTATAGGTCATGTTGTTGGGAATCAAAATGATCAGGAAAATATGAGATACCCTAATTTAAGCGTATTTACCTATGGATCGGTCTTGGAAGCCACAAGAAACTTCTCTGAAGAAAACAAGCTTGGACAAGGGGGCTTTGGACCTGTTTATTGGGTAAGGCTTTAAATAATCTCAAGAAAGTATCATATTTGTATTTGGAATTACTGAGACATGTTTATGGATTATGAATTTAGGGAAAATTGACGACGGGACAAGAAGTAGCTGTGAAGAGGCTTTCAAGATGTTCAGGCCAAGGCACAGAGGAGTTTAAGAATGAATTGATACTCATCTATGAACTCCAACACACCAACCTTGTTCGACTGTTTGGATTTTGTATTCACGAACACGAGAGGATGTTAATATACGAGTACATGCCAAACAAAAGCTTGGACTACTTTTTATTTGGTTGGGAATTACACTAGCTAGTTTAATATTAGATCTTCATTTCATTTATTCAGTTTCATTGGGAGTTCATAACATCCTCTCGTAACTTTAATCCTATCTTGGACAGATTCCATCAGACGTCGGCAACTAGATTGGAAAAGCCGTTTCAATATAATTGAAGGAATCACTCAAGGAATGCTTTACTTGCACAAATACTCGAGAACAAAAGTGATTCATAGAGATTTGAAAGCGGGTAACATACTACTTGACAAAAATATGAACCCCAAAATTGCAGATTTTGGTATGGCAAGGATTTTCACTCAGGAGCTTCAAGCAAATACGATGAGAATTGTCGGGACACAGTAAGTAAACAATAACATATATGAATACATTCGTATCATCACTTGTTTTTCTTTTGGTTGAGCAGCATGCATTAATGTACGTATATACAGATAATGTACTTAAGTTTTTCTTTTCTCATTTGGTACAGTGGTTATATGCCTCCAGAATATGTCATGGGAGGACACTTTTCTGTAAAATCTGATGTCTACAGCTATGGAGTGTTAATGCTTGAAATTATCAGTGGTAGGAAAAACAACAGCTTCTGCAATGAAGATCGTGTGCTCAACTTAGTAGGACATGTATGCCAAACAAATCACTGGAGTTAGTTTTTTTTTTTTTTCTACACACCCCTTTTCTTCCCGTCACACCCTTATTTATTTCTAGCCTTCAGATGATGAAATTGAGATTCCATCATAAAACCAATTGGCAATACAGAGAGTTGCCCATGACCACATAAGCACATAACAAATCTTGTCTCTCACTGATGTGGGATAAGTCTTCCTCATCACATTTCAACTCTCAACATGCCCCTGCACGTGCAGCCTTTTTTCAAGCTTACACGTGGATAACAAGTGAGCGACGCGTGAGCACATGTAGCCCTTGGGCTTTCACACGAGGGACAATCTGCTTTAATATCATGATGAAATTAGGGTTCTACCATAAAACCAATTAGCAATATGGAGAGTAGCCCAAGACCATATAAGCATATAGCAAATCTTGTCCTTCGCTGATGTGGGATAACTCTTCCTCACATTTCAACTCTCAACATCAGATTGAACAAATCAAAAGAAAATGAAGGGACAAAAAGTAAACAAAACAGGGGTCTGCAATAGGGGAAAAATAGTGTGCGGAAATCTTTATGTAAGTTATTTTTTCATTTTTTAAGGTGTGATATTCAATGATTTTAATTTTTTTCTCCAGGCCTGGGAGTTATGGAAAGAAGATCGAGGGAAAGAACTAATGGATCCAACACTAGTTGAAACATGTATTAGTCATCAAGTTTTAAGATGCGTCCAAGTAGGTCTACTGTGTGTGGAGGAAAAAGCAGCTGATCGGCCAACCATGCCAGAGCTGATATTCATGTTAACAAACGAAAGCATGCGGTTACCTGAACCAAAAAAACCAGCATTTTATTACGCAGAGAGAAATGTGGGTAATGCTGATATAGATAGAAGGGGACCACCACTGGATATAAACGGGTTGTCCATTTCCGAATTCATTGGACGTTGAAGGTATTGATTGTATCTGTTGTGCCTTACCAATACTGCAACAAAGCTTGTTTTTGGATGGCAAGAAAACGCAACTGTAATTTTATGGGTAGCCTTCTTCTTAAAAGTACGAGACCATATACAGTAATAAATCTTTTATGCAATTTCGAAGTTTTATATGCAATTAATGGCGATATACAATGTACAAACGTCTCAAGAATAACAATGTTGGAGTGGATTTAGAATTTTTTATTAGAAAAAATAGTATTCGGTCCGTAACTACTAGTATTCATTGGCTCTAGGGTTCCCTAGGAGAGAATATTAAAACAGTCGCTCGGCGACAATTCCTATTTCTATTCCGACGACGGCATAAAGGGTTTCTTGGTTACAAGTTCTCTGGTGTGGATAGTTTCGCTGTATGGTTTTTACGGAGGTGCGAGTTGCGGCGGCGCTTGTGTGGAATTTGGGCAAAAGGCTATTTAGTTTGGTTTGGTTTTCAATGGAGGACATGGTATCTAGCTTTTCGAAACGATTGGCCCTCATAGAGGAGGAGCAATAGGTTGTGGTAGTTGATAAGACAGAAGGTGTGCTATTGATGACAACTAGGGTTTTCCTGGTTGGAAAAATATTAATGAGGAGAACGTTGAATACTGAGAGATTCAAAAGACAGATGCAGTTTATTTGGCGGCCTAGGCTAGAGTTACAATCGTGGAACTGGACCAGCATTTGTTTTCCTTTGGGGTTCATATATATATATATATATATATGTGTGTGTGTGTGTGTGTGTGTATGATTGAGGTTTTGTACTCTAGGTATTTGCTTCTCTCTTTAAAATATTTTCTCTTTCTATGCATCTCTTTTAAAGTATTTCGTCTATTTCTCTTTTAAGCTTGTATTCCATAGTTAATTTTTCTACGTTTTAATTTATTTTGACCAATTTTCTGTACAATCATGTTGTTCTATAATTCTTCTAACTTTTCATAAAAGTCTCACATTTTAAACACTGAGGATTTTGGGGGGCTTTAGAGGATTTTATTATGTATTTTAGGCCATAATAAAACAATTCGAAGTAAACAATATGTAATACTGTTGTTGAGCCAATATTTTTGCCTATTATCACAAAACAGAAAAGAGTGTTGTTATCGACATTCTAGAAAGTCATCATAAACTTCTTCGTCTATATTTTTTTCACTATGTTTTTATAAGAAAAAAAGGACTGTGATGACATTTTTGGATTGGAAATATTATTTTCCAGTTAAAAAATGCGATTATACTGGTGTTGGAGCTCTTCTAAGAAACATGTTGGGCCGTTGTAGCTATTTAATTTGGCCCATAACCCAACTATAACAAGAAAGCCCAAAGCAGAATCCAACTCCGTAAACAAAAGAAAAACCCAAAACGCAGCGCCGTAACGATCATCAGAGGCTGGTGGGGTGTCCTCTCAGAAAAGAAAGAAGCAGCTCCCACACAGATAAACAAAACACAAAACACAGAAAGAAGGGAAAAGAGCGAGAGAGAGAGAGAGAGAGAGAGAGATACCGGAAGGAAGAGGAGAGAGCAATCGGAGAAGGAGAGCACACTGGCGTTGATCGTACGGTCCAGATCCACTGGTTTTCTGGATCCGACGACCCGAAGACATGGCTTCCAAAGGTCCAAGGTCCAAGCTTGATCATGAACCCAGACCTAAGCGCCAAAAGGTTAGCTTTCCGATATTATACGTCTGCATTTTTGCGAGATTTTAATTTTTATTGAGCTAGGAATGAATAAATAGTAGTTTTTTGTTTTGTTTTTATGCTTTTTTTTTTTTTTTTTTTTTGTAGTTTTGTAATCCTACTGTGGCTTAGCGTTGTTGAAGTTTGAAACTTGTGATTTTTTTGGTTAGAAATATATATATTTTTTTTCCTTTTTTTCTCGTTTTTTGTAGCAGTGTCTGGCTTGAAATTGTAGTTTTGAGTAATTTTAATTCATAAATTATTCACTTTTCTGGTAAATTATGGAGATTTTAACACGAAACTTGTATTTCGTGAGAATTTTGCTGGCGTGGGTATATCTTAGGAGAATTCTTTTTTGGAGATGTGTTAGTTGAGTGTATGCTTGGGTCGAGGCTAAAAGCATGGCCGGAGGAAGTTTGAGCTTTTGTTTTGTTTATTTCGTTTTGAGTAAACAACGTTCAGGATGCTATCTCAGGAACCAATGAGCTGAACGTATGCAAAAATGCTGCTGACGTTCGAGAATTTTTCCATATGTGCATTTCGTTCTTAAGCAATCATGTCTCAGTGATATATAAAAGTGTGTGCACCTAGAGTGGAGGTGGCCCGAACCCCCACTATTTTATGAACTCTCATTTTGTCTTGCAATTTTGAGATTATGGAAGTCCATGGAGTGAAAAGTTACAGTGGATGAATAAATTGAAGTAGAAAGCACTTTCTTTAATGGATTTGGCCTTGAAAAGTTATGACATAACCCTTGTTTAAAATAAAATAAACTTTTTATGACTCATAAGAAGTGTAGAGATGAGAAGAAATAATTTTTGTTGGCGTTAGTTCTGCGAAAGATACATTTCCCTAGTGTAGAATGTGCCAAACCAATTCGAGAATTTTGGGTTGTTGGATGTTTTGACATTGAGAGGAAACCCTTAAAGTGATCATTGTGCATTACAATGCTTATGATTGTTGTTCTGGAAAAATTTCAGACTAATATTGCAGCAAAGTGAAAGAATTTTCCAGGGGATAAGTAGTGCTAGGACAAAGTCTTCATTTTTGCGTTATGGTTCCGTTCTTCAATGGGAATATATTGAAGTATTATTACTACTACAAAGTGTGATAATGGGTTTGTTAATAGGACTTGAGATTAAAAGAATGCTTCTTGTGTTGAATTGTTGCAACAAGGGATCTTGAATACAAGGTTGTGAATTTTGTGTTCAAGGTTCAATAAAAATATTAGAGCTGACAAAATTTTGTTAAAATCCAAGTATTTTGTTTTACATGCATAACATGCACCTACATGTAATGGTCTTCTGTCTTCATGTTCCTTGGTGATGATAAACATTCCACATATTGAAAGCAGTCAGTAATTTGAATGTATTGCTGCAATCCTTCTGTTAATCCTTGACTCAGTTTATACAAACTTGACTGTGATAGGCCCTTGAAACTGCAAGTGAGCCTCGTCGGCCAAAAGCTCACTGGGATCATGTTTTGGAAGAGATGATATGGCTTTCAAAGGTAATTTATAGATATGCGCCTTTAAATTTTGGTATGATTGTGCTTTATTATCTTTAGAACAAGTATTATGTTGGAAAGTGTGAAATCTTCTCAATTAAGTTGAGAATATGAGATAAATGCTTTTGGTATTCCTTGCTTATGAAACTTGTTATTAGCAGGATTTCGAGTCAGAGAGAAAATGGAAATTAGCTCAGGCGAAGAAAGTTGCTTTAAGAGCCAGCAAGGGCATGCTAGATCAGGCTACAAGGGGAGAAAGGAAATTGAAGGTTCTGTTTTTTCCTAACTGAAGCGCAATGCATTATGCATACAAGTTTATCTCAGTTCTCATGTTACACAAAATTGGTTCATATAATTGCTCAAGCGTTTATTTTCCTTGCAACATTATGAATTTTAATTTAGGAGGAAGAGCAACGGCTAAAGAAGATTGCACTCAATATATCGAAGGATGTGAAGAAATTCTGGCTGAAAATAGAAAAGCTGGTAAGCTTATCTTTGCTAAGTCACCAACTTTAACAAAAAATTTATTTTCACTAGTTTATTGTCCTTATAGATAGGGCCCTGACTGTATATGCCTAATATTGTATTCTAGGTGCTTTACAAGCATCAGATGGAACTTGATGAGAAAAAGAAAAAGGCACTCGATAAGCAGCTTGAGTTCCTTCTAGGTCAAACTGAGAGGTGAAATTTTTTTTCGTGGTTAATTGATATGATCTTAGTTGTTGTTTTCTGTGCGCTGCATTTGATTTCTTGCTATTGTCCTGGTAAACTGAATGACACTTCTGCATGGAATTTCCAGGTACTCAACAATGTTGGCAGAAAATCTTGGGGACAGCTACAAGTCTGTTCAGCAATATCCTACCCAAGGTCAACCAAGTATCCAATTCAAAGAGATGGACAAAAATGATACTAACAAATCAACTGAATTGAATGCCGGTAAGTTGAAGGTTGTTATTTCATTGACGTTCTTCTCTTACCTAGAAAGTTATTTTACTTTTATCTTGAACTAAAATACTCTCACACGTTTTAAACAGAACCTGACACAGAAAGAGCAGACATTGACGTTGATGATGATGATTATGACGTACAGTCTGAAGATAGAACTGTGAGTCTTTCCTTTCCTTTTCTATTCTGTAAATATATGATGTTTCTTTTTAACTCAATTTGATGGGTATGCATTTACATGATAGTAAGGCCAATTATGCAAGGAACTATGTGCATATGCAGTGGATTACAATAATTCTTTCCATGATACTTGATGATGTTAAGGAAAAGTACGTCAGTCAACATTCTCCAATACTTTATAGTATTTTCATCTAAGTCAATGCCGCCCTTGGATCAGGGATGTCAGGCAAAGGTGAAAGAAGCGTAGTTGGTAATGTAGTTGACCACGAGTATAAGGTAATGCATAGATAAAGTCTACAGTTGAACTGACCAATTTGTCTGCTAACAGTGCAACTGTTTGCTGTCCGGGGAAGTTCTGTAATATCAAATGAAGCCTGGATAATCACATGGAAAAAAATTTCCATTGAATTTTGGAATAGAGTTCTGACTCCAATACTTAGTTTTCTGTATTTGCAACTTTTATATGAAGCCTCAGGTTCTGTTATTGTGAGTTTTATACTCTAAACATGCTATTTGGAGTATGTGTCTATCTGTAAAGTGTTATATTGCCTGTATGTCTACTGGAAAAATTTGTTGTCTACATTACCATGTTTGCAAAAACTGCTTTGCATTTGGAGAGTTAGACTCTTACCCCTTGTGGATTTGAAGGACGTTTTGATACTGCTCTTTATGTATTATTTCTATTCTTAACAGATGTTTTCCTGCATGATGATGCTGTTTTAGGAGGATGACGAGAACACTATTGAGGAAGACGAGGCTCTTTTTACTGAACAAGAAAGGAAGGAAGAGTTGGCTGCTTTACAGAATGAAGTAGATCTTCCACTTGGGGAGCTACTCAAACAATATCCTACGGAGAAAGGTGAATGGTTATAACTTTTTGCTCAACTATACTTTATTTAATTATGAGAGGCAGTTTGTATGTTCTAAGTATGGGTCTGGAACTTTTAGCATAATTTTCTACAGGATGATAGCTAGGTTTCAAAAATTCGCAGTTGGAAGATGCGGGTTATGCTTTTCTTCTTACCTGCTTTAGGCATGTATCTAAGTGTAATTATTTCCACATTGTTCAGATTCCTCTCCAATTAGCCAAATATTTTGGTCCTGGAAGAGCTATGAGCCAGTTGGGATGGCTTTTCCAGTAGTTTTTCTTCTCTAACACTATGAATTTTATTCGTGTCGTGTGCATAGTGTTAGAGTCACAGAGTTGTGCTCAATATATAGTAGATTTGGTATATCATTGATGGGATCTATTCCCCTGTCTCTTGTATGCTAAATGAGCTCCTTTGAATTAATGGCATTTTTATAAATCTTATCTGACAGATGGACTTTCGGTTAGCCCAGAAAGTAGT